CAAATTCCAAAAAAAAATAGTTTGACAAATAATAAAAAAGTGGTTTAATTTTTATTTGTAAATCATAATTTGGTTTTGAAATAATAATATTTATATAAGAGTATAATTATCTAAGCACTATTAGTGTAAAGATTTATATAAACTTAGTACATAGTTCATTATTCATTTGTATTTATTTTATTAAAGAGTCGACAATGATTAAAAAATATGAATAATGGATGATGCAATGACAGTATATAAAACTCATATAGTTTTGATGCGTAAATTTTTTTGCCCTCAAATTTACTCTTCCATCTCCTACTTTATTTACTCTTACTAATTCCTAATATCACATTATTATTCTTCATCAATCAGAGATAAAAATATAGAGATGATGAGTCATACCTTATTTAATCAAAATCTATTTTCTTTATTTCATATTTGTTTGAAAATTTAGTTTTCAGAAATAAAAATAGTAGTAATTGAAAAATCAATGACGATTTTTTTGTTACAAAAATGCATTAAAATTAGCACAAGCTTTAAAGAGATAGCTTACCGTAAAAAATTAGTCATCAGTTTATTTGAGAAAATAAGATCATTTCTCATCATCCAAATAAACCAACTATAGTAAACCAAACCATCAAGAATTTGAGTGCAAATCCATTCACGTCCACCACAATTAAGCTTTAAAGAGATAGCTTACGGTAAAAAATTAACAATTGAAATGTTGAAAGTGCTATGATGATCCTTCTTGAAATCAACATGTTAACAAACTATATATATATATATATATATATCATTTAATAGGTCAAATTATATATACATAATAATAAGAGTAAATTATACTGACACCTCTGAGTTTTAGTAAAATTACACAAATCATTCACAACTTTTTAAAACTTACACAAACCACCTCTAATAATATATACACATTACACTAACTACCCCTATAAGAGAGATAAATGTAATTTCTTAAACAAAAAATGACGACGAGTGTAATTAAGTCAAATAAAATGTGGTAGAGTATGAAGACAAGTCCAAATAGTATAAGAGTCGATGTCTATTCATTATTTTGGGTAATTACAGTATAATATAAGAGTAATTTGAACACCTCATTAGAATTATTAATGCAGTTTGCAACGAATAAAAAATAATGAATATACATCGACTCTTATGTTATTTCGACTTGTTTTCACAATGTACCATATTTTATTTGACTTAATTACACTCGTCGTCATTTTTTGTTTAAGAAATTACACTTATATCTCTTACAGAGATAGTCACTATAATATATATCTATAATCAATGGGTGATTTGTATAGGTTTTAAAAAGGTGTGGTGGTTTGTGTAATTTTACTAAAACTCAAAAGATGTCAGTGTAATTTACTATAATAATAATAGCTAAAATGTTGATAAGACTTTATGTAAAAGAGATATACATTGCAATTAATCGGATTTAGGATTGAGTTCAGATTCAAAGACTCATCTAATCGACATTTAGGGTCAAATTAACTTTGTAAGAGTTTAAACAATATCTCTACCAATATTTAGGATTGGGTAATGAACAAGTGTTACCGGAATCTATACTCATCCCTGGTCTATAGTTGTACATATATTTTTCTCATTTAATTTAATGTTTTATTCTTTGCTTGTCAAAAAATTGTCTTGACTGAATGATGAATAACAGTGTGTAAATTTGGGGGAAATGTACACTTGATGTAATCTCCATTCTGATTTCCTCACCCAAAATGGGTCCCACAGTTCTAATGCAATTTTTACATGAAGTACAATTGAAGAGTGTGTGTGTGGGGAAGACAAGTTATACATGTCCCATAGCGCTTCTACCACTCAATAATGATGGAACTATCTAAACTTTCTTACGCACTTTTATTTTTATTTGTAGAAGATGAATGATATACACTCCTATTAAATTTTCTTATTAATCTTTGTATTCACAAATAAAATTATATATGTCACTTGTAAAATGATTATTAATAAATAAAGTTGTGACATATATCACTTTCTTTTGCATGAAGATTAATAAATGAATATATCATTTGAAACAATTATATATACTCATCTACACTATTCATTTGCATATTTTTATTTTGAGTAAATTACATTCATACCCCCTGAGTTTTAGTGAAATTATACAAACTACCTCTCCTTTTTTGTCCTTACACGAACCACCCTGCCTCCTACATGAACCACTCATAGTTTTGTATATATATTACACTGACTACCCCGCATGTTATCAAAGTGTAATATTTTAACCAAAAAATGTGTGGTGAGTGTAATTAATTTAAAAAGTATATTATATATTGTGTAACATTTCAAATACTACAAAAATCAATGTTTCTTTATTATTTTTGTCTCATTGCAAAATACATTATTAATTCTAAAGATATGTTTAAATAACTTTTATAATATTTTGTAACGAGCCAAATAATGAAGACACACACTCTCATATTATTTGAATTTGCCTACACAATATACAATATTTTATTTAACTTAATTATACACGCCACACATTTTTTGTTTAAAATATTACACTTTTATATTACGCATGAGTAGTCAGTGTAACATATGTACAAAATTAGGGTGATTCGTGTAAGAACAAAAAATTGAGGGATATTTTGTATAATTTCACTAAAATTCAGGGAGTGCGAATATAATTTACTCTTTTATTTTTATGTAAGAGTTTGTAATGAAGATGGACAAACTATTTATTATGGTATGAGTTGCATTACATGATTTTCTTAACATTTATTTAAAAAAACTCTTATGGTGTTATTGGTGCAAATACATGATTTTTTTCAACATTTATTGTAAACTATTATAGTATCAGTGCAAATGCATCATTTTCTCAACATTTATTAATTTTATGGTAGTTTTAAAAATTGTTATAATGAATGTTCACAAACTATTTTCTTTTACTTTAATTCATATATTGCCAAATTCAACACAAAAACAAGCCCAAAGATAACGTGTCATATCATACCCTATAATTTTGATACCTTTTGGTCTCCCATTCTCAACATCTTCAGAGTTCTGACTCAGAACAAACCCAAAAAAATGTAAGTACTTATTTTATAATTTCCTTACTTGTACTTTCCTACGTAGGGATTGTATTTATTCACATGTAATGTAACATATAATCATATGTGTATCTAGTTCTCTTAGTTTCAATGTAACATACAAATATACAATCCTGACATTGAAACTTTAGATCTATGTGGGGTATTGTATTGTATTGTATTGTTATTACTGGTAAATGACTTTTATTATTATGATTATTATTATTATATGATTCTCAATGCCATTTTCATATATTGATTGAACTTGAGTTCTACAATGTTTATGATACAGGTTTTCAATGATACTCTTAGTTTCATTGTTTGATTTGAAAATTTTGGCCCTTTTTGGATAGAAATGATATGATTAGTATTGTTATATGAGGGTAACATGATGAGTATTGTTATATACTAGAAACTAGAAATGATATGATTCCTTAACAATGAAATGAATTTCTTTAACCCTGAATTAATCAAGTATCTGTTAAGACTTAGAACTTAGTTTTTCAACTTCTGTTATTTCTCAGATAACAGAAAATGAGGGGTGGCTTGTGGCAACTTGGGCAATCGATCAGCCGCCGTCTAGCCAACGGTGACAAGAAGACTGTTACTTGTCGATATTTCGCGACAGAAGCTGAGCTGAAAAAGACAGCTCTTTATGACTTCCATGTTGCTAATGGTGGGAAGATGGTGCCATTTGCTGGATGGAGCATGCCAATTCAATACAAGGACTCAATCATGGACTCAACCTTAAACTGTAGGGAGAATGGTAGCCTTTTCGATGTTTCTCATATGTGTGGACTAAGCCTCAAAGGGAAAGACAGTGTCGCGTTCCTTGAAAAGCTTGTCATTGCCGATGTTGCTGGACTTGCCCCCGGAACGGGATCGCTAACTGTGTTCACAAATGAAAAGGGAGGGGCAATTGATGATTCAGTGATTACTAAGGTCACGGATCATCATATATACTTGGTTGTGAATGCAGGGTGTCGGGATAAAGATCTGGCTCATATCGAGGAACATATGAACGTATTCAAGGCCAAAGGCGGTGATGTATCTTGGCACATCCATGATGAGAGATCTCTACTTGCTCTACAGGTCACACATTTTGAAGTGAACTTATAGCTTTTCAGGTTTTCTTTTAGTTGTTACGATCTCGAAATAACGGCGAGTATTGAGATGGATATAGTTTGCCCTACAGATTAAAATTAAAGGACTTTTAACTTAATGAACTGTTTTTTTATGGCAGGGTCCTCTAGCTGCTCCTGTTCTTCAGCATCTGACAAAAGAGGATTTGAGCAAGCTGTACTTTGGCGAATTCCGTGTGTTAGACATCAACGGCTCGCAGTGCTTTCTCACTCGGACAGGGTATGTTTTGTTGTGGTTTTCTTTCTCTAATATTAGTGATTTGCCCTGCAAAGTTTTTATGGGTTGCTATTGGGAACTAAGTTCCACATCGCTAACCTCATTGTCTCGGGAATGATTTAAATACATGTTGAGTTACTCCTCTCATAGCAAATTGGTTGAGATTGAACCTTAACCGTGTGCTATCTGAAATTCCATCATGTGCTGCTTTTGCTATATCAGTTTTAAAATCCTCCCTTTCCTAACTCATAACAAGTGCAATGTGATAAATTCAGTTGGTCTTTTTGTGTTGTTAACTAAACGAGAGTTTATCAGGGATACTATGCTTAATCCGAATGGTAGTTTTACGCGTAATAAGACACTCTTTATCAAGACTTTCAGGTATACTGGTGAAGATGGATTTGAGATATCAGTTCCTTCGGAGAATGCGGTTGATCTTGCCAAAGCAATTGTGGAAAAATCCGAAGGGAAGATAAGATTGACAGGATTAGGTGCGCGAGATAGTCTTCGACTCGAAGCTGGATTGTGTTTATATGGCAATGACATGGAACAACACATTACCCCTATTGAGGCAGGGCTGACATGGGCCATAGGGAAGAGAAGGAGAGCAGAAGGTGGTTTTCTTGGAGCTGAATTCATACTGAAACAACTTGAAGAAGGTCCTAAGATTCGGCGTGTCGGGTTGTTTTCTTCCGGTCCACCTCCTAGAAGCCATAGTGAGATTCAAGATGAAGGAGGCAACAACATCGGCGAAGTCACGAGCGGCGGATTCAGCCCGTACCTGAAGAAGAACATAGCCATGGGGTATGTGAAATCGGGATTGCACAAGGCAGGTACAAAAGTGAAGATTGTTATTAGAGGAAAAGCCAATGAAGGAGTTGTTACAAAAATGCCATTTGTACCAACAAAGTATTATAAGCCTTAAAAAATTTCCAACTGCTTTTCCTCTTCACCACTTTTCCCATAATCTGAACTTTGTAATCGATTTTTTTACTGAAATCAAGTACAAGGAGAATGTCTTGCATTAAAAACTAATATTTTCATTTCAAACATGTATGATAGTTGAGTTCATCATGTAGTCTTTAAATTTTGTGACATTGATCTTACCTATTTCTACTAGAGTAAAATCTGCATGCCATCCATGAAAGAATATGTTGTGTTGAATAGCTGCAATTTCTTAACAGGCGCACCTTCTACTCCTGCAAATAGTTAACACACTTATATACGAAGATGTCACACAGAGAAAAGTTATTTTTGTGAATACGTATGTTCGTAGAGACAACCAATAAATTTTCATAACATATTAAAAATTTCATTCCAAATAAAATTTAATCATAAATTATAGTACCAAAATCATAATTACATTTATCTCTAAATGTCACGTGTTGTATGTGTCTTCACACAAGTTTTTCTCCTATTAAGATATACTTTGTAAGTATAATAATTATTTTTTGGGTACTTCCATAGTTCCATTGGAACTGAAATCATCCACATGGTATATAGCCATTTAAATATATCCTTACTCCTCCGACCTCTAAAATGAAATCATATTTAGTTATTATCTACCATCGTATTTCTAAAAATTAAAAAATAGTATATACGTCATAATTTTAGTAATTGAATAATATAACTTATCTTTTGACATAAGTATATACTCTTTTCTCAGAAATAATTTGCCATGTGAAATCAAGTTATTTTTTTATACACATAAGTAATGAGAAAGGACAAAATCACTTCAAAAATTAAAATGGACAAACAAAGAATATGGTCAAACTCAATTCAATTTATTAAATGATAAACAGATTATTGGCATTATGACCATAAAGCCTCTCACATTAAATCCAATCACGATACTGAATTTTTGTTTTGTGAATTCTATACATCTTTGATAAATAGATTGACAATATGAAATTTTGCTTTGAAAAAATATCAAACAACCAGGTTTGTTAATCATTTAAAAATGGTATATATTACAAAACACTCTTACCAAGTCAAAATATAATGAAGAATGAAGACTTGTTTATTGGGTTTAGGTTCAAAAATATTATATGTTGAAACAAGTTGTAGAAGCAAGCATGTTAAACTATATATACACTTTATATTTTGCACCCAAAAAAATACACATTTATTAAAAACACTGTTTGGTGCTGCACTGCTGCTAATAACACTGATTGGATTGTTAAACTTCAGAGTCCAAGATTTTTCATATAAAAAAATTTATTTAATCACCTGGAATTGATCGAAATAAATATGATTTTTTAAAACTTAATTTTAAGAAGCGTAATATTAATTTTCTTAGCACGTGATTTTAGTAACAGGTTAAAGCATCCATGTTCCCCATAAACTAAGTTATGAATTTTACAAAAAAAAAAAGGAACATGAATGAAAATTTTATGAAGGCCTTTGGAACTTAAATGCAAATATATGAAGGAAAATTCAAGATATCAAACCACAATCATCATGTTACCAAAAAAGTTTTTAAGACTGGTCATCAAATATCTGTTTATCTACACATCTTGCTACAATGCTACCACATAATTATTAGATATTCATATATAATTCAACCAACAAAATTACAATACACTTAACACAATTTAACAATTTTAAGGAATCTCTAATGCGAGTTAGTCTCTAAAGTTAGAAAATAATGGTGGATCCACCCTTGGATCGCATATTGTAAATACTCGATTAAATAAAGGGTGGCACTTACTCACTTTAGAGTAGTCAACTCCATATCCTCAAGCTTGTGACTCAATGACTAGGAAAATGTTTTGGCCTTTGGAACATTCCGAATTTCGAAATTATCTGCCAACTTAACTTAAACACATTGGCAATGAAACGTACAAATGTGGCTGCCGAATTGCGAGATAACATCCACACAACATCCATAACCTCCAACTGCCACAACCTGAAATGAATAATGTAATGATGCACAGGAAAGTTGAGCTAAACAGATAGCATATATTATAGCATGAACAAAAGGGTATCTAACTCCTATCTCAATAGCAATAATATTTTCGATTGAAACATACTCCTGTAGGATATAACGAGATAGAGAAAGCTGATTGAGGAGCACATTGTATTTGTGAAAGGATCACACCATTCATGTCAAAGCGATTGAGTATAGGATCTGCACCAACTGCCAAAATCTGACAGAGAAATGAAAAAATTAAAAGGATGGGGGACAATAGGATAGCAAAAGCTGTAGTGACTTAGATATTCAAATAGCATATGGCAGATACTAGCCAATTCCCACATGACAGATACTGAATGATACGGCTAATGAAAAAAGCCTTAAACTCGTGTGAGATGATATATAAATAAAGCACCAACAAATTTCTAATGCATGATACCAATTACTTCTCTTTCTACCACTCTCTTGCGGCCAACAAGATCGAATAGTTTGACTGTGTTCAACACAAGAAAACTTGGAGATAAATAAGACTATAAGAGAGATAGCATACTCACTTGATTATTTTCAAATAACATGTCCTGTACAGTAGCATGCGTTGAAATCCTTGATACACATTCTGAAGCGGGAAGGTTCCAAAGTGATATATTCCGCCCACGACTGCAAGCCTATAGAACAGGCACAGTAGATCCTTGATTATTCACAGAACAAAGCAACAATAAAAGGATATAAGAAGTTTATTACACATGTCAATGTTTTCCCATGCATTGTGCGTTTCACCAATTTGCCTATAGATAAAGGACAACCTAAAATGTTAACAGTATTTTGGCAAGAAAATTGTGATTATTAATGAAAGATTAGAAATTTTGTTAGCAAAATTAGCCTTTTGTTTAATAATAATACTTGTGTAGAACAAAATTTGTATCTTGATTAGGAATTATTGTTGTCCAAGTCATGGTCAAATGACGCCATATGCCAATAACATGGTCATGACATATGTGTAACTATTCAGGTTCCAAAAGGAAAATAAATTAAAACCAAAATCATTACATACAAATATATGTTCTGAAAACTTTGACAATTATTCATATTTCTTTTACCAGGTAGGCACATTTGGACCAAAAAGTGTTGGAAAGATGGAAGAAAATTATAAAATAATAAGCTCTTACCAACCAGCTCTCACTTGCATCTAAAGCAACACAACCAACCCATGAAACAGATCCTTTTAATTTAAAATCTTTTCCTGGGTTAATAACTTGGACAGACTTTCCACTTTTGCAATCTAGTAACAAGGTAAATTAGAAACAAAGACATATGTATTAGCACAAGGTATAAAGCTGCACCAATATTTTCCAGGAACCAATCAATTCACAAAAAGTAATAAAATGCTTTGTGCAGTTTGCTCTGCTTTAGGAATTGACAATATGAGAATGAATAATACCCCAAATTCGTGCGGTCCCATCCTCTGAACCTGTTATGATCTGAACATTGATCAGATGGAACCAATTAGTTAGAGAAATTTCCAACTTTACTCATTGTAGGAGGACAAAGAGTAAAATCATTATGCAAATGAGAAAATTGCAACAGAGAAGTTTTAGGATTTAAAAGTACTAGCCCACATATTTTCTAGCATCAGAAAAGTTAAGTAACTTTAAATTCAGATACTGGTGTAAAATGTTTTTGAAAAACTATTTCTGTTAAAAAGATGCCTAGTTGGAACAGTGTATATCACCCCTTTTACTCATTCCCCCTTCAATGGCCTTTTATTATTATTATCATTATTATTATTATTATTATTATTATTATTATTATCTGTAAGTCATAAAATTGTGCCACGTTTATATCTCTTATATGTTCAAAAAGGTATTAACATATACCTCTACTATTGATGAAGAAAACATGAACATATTTATTATATTCACATTCATTCCAAAAGTTCCAGAACAGTCCTTAGCTCATGGAGACCCTTGTTTAGTAAACTAATAAAATTTAGGGCTATAAAAATTAAACTCCATGCCATCTCTCCAATCTCCTTATTTAACAATATCATTATCTCCACTAGGACCTCTACATTTCCATTCATATCGACCACTTTTATCTTAATTGAAGTAGAGCAAGGTGTTTTCTATTGCCTATATATGTCCACAAACAAGTATGGAAGAAAAAAGCCAACTCTTAAACGCCATATATAATACAAGATTAATGAAAAAATTCATGAAGGAAAAGCATGAAATGAGAAAATAATCACTGTAAGGCTAATGCAAAAATATAAGGTTGAGTCAAGACCTGATTGGATGAGTTGCGAGCAACTATACAATGCAAGTAGTCCAAGTGCCCCTTGAAGACCATTTTTACTTTACCAGTTTCCTACATGCATTAACAAATGTTAGTCAAGGCACAACACAGATACAACTAAAAATTAATTTATCCCAAGAAACTTCCTACTCAAATTAAATTCGCCTTCCATGAATACATACCAAATCCCAACAATATGCACAAGAATCACCAGAAGCAGCAAAAATAGATCCCTCCTACAATTAAACAAGAAAATGGTGTTACAAACTCAAGTATAGAATAACAAAGATATTACTGTGACAAAAGGTCACAAAAATAGCAAACCTGAGTATTAACAGCAATAGCATTATTCTCAGGGATAGGTGAAAGCGCACCCCAAGGACCTCTGAAAGACAACAATAACATGAACATTGGAGAAGTAGGAGGTAGCATAAAGGACAGAGAATTGGAAACGTAAAGCAGTTCATAACAAAAAGTGGGGCATATAGAGGACAATCAGAAAAGCAAAAATACAGGAGCAAAACAACTGCAGAAGTGCAGATGCTATATAATAAACAAGCTTAGAATTGCTCGGATAGTGAGAACAATCCCCTTTTCTGACAGGTTTCACGCCAGCGGTGTATACCAAAAAAATACTGATATTGACACTTGTCAGTTGTATAAGATAAATATACATCCAACTGATCCAAGTTTATCTCCAACACGTGGAGCCCATATGTAAAAGAGTTTATTCAGTGAATAAAAGGAAACGTAGACGGAATAATAGAATCAAGAAGGAAATGACTTCCTTAACTTCAGCAGTAAAAATAGCAAAAAACTGAAGTGTGTATATTGGATATATTCTCCTAAAACTCACCTGTGTTGAGGATTCACCAGGTCAAGTATAGGTTTAATATCATTTCCTGCAGTATTAAGTGACAACTTGCATAAAGCATTGAAAAGAACATCCACTCAAAAGTAAAAATAAGAAATAAAAGGATGGCAAGAA